AAGACTTTTGGAGGGGGGGGGGGGGGGAGTGGCATGAAAGACATTTGCTGGGAGACTTTCAAGAGCTGGGAATGAATATCAACATCCAGCATAAGTTTATACTAGACAAACTGCATGAAGCAAGTCAGAATGATCAGCCCGGTATGCTTTCCTGGTGAGTAGTTTGGTTGCACTACAGTACTCATTCACATATGGCTATGCATGAGGCCTTAGCATGGAAGCGGTGGGATGTTCTGATACATCCAAATCGACAGACTCGTCATGTGACTTTCATTTGGACCTTAAAAAAAATAAAGCTATGAATGGACAGTTCTATCATACCAGCACAGATATGATAGCAAAATGGTTCAAACAGAAGCCATATTACTTCATGGGCAGTATCTGCTATCTCCCCAATGGGCTAAGTGCCACAATACCTACAGGGACTTGTTCTGAAATCTGGAGGTTCATGCTTGATTTTTTACAGTTGCTGTGTTTAATTCTGCCACACATGCTCATATACCTTTCATATACTTGTAATGCAGCCATCAAGATTGACTTCATTTGAGGATGTTTAGTTACCATATTCTGAGTTGTCTGTGATACTGACCTCCCTCCAGTAGGTGCAAGCTCCCACAGGGCTTCTGTGACCTAAAAACCTTTGTATCAGACTTAACTCTTCAAGTCCCAAGGAGCGCATCATACTGTTATTGATTCCTACCTTGAAGCCTAATTAAGGCATGATGTGCCAATTTGATGTCTCTTTACTACTCCTTGGGCCTGTGATGCTAAACCCTCTGGGATTCAAAGGGTTAGGATCTGAAACTCAAGTCTTTTAAGAATTCAGGTGATAGCCAGCCAGCCATTTCAAAGGGAATAGATACTAAACAGTCCTACATCATGCATGAGGGGGAAAAGTGTATTATGTAATAATTCAAATTAGAGAGTGGAGGTTATGTAATGACACAGTCACTCATGCCATTTGGTGAAACATGTTTACATAACATCATCACCAGAATACTTGAAAGGTGTTAAAAGCGAAAGGGTTTTGTTTTGAGGCACTGGGTTTTATCTCATGTGCCTAGGTAACTTACCACAGATTGGCTGACGGATACTGTGGCACTGGGTTTTTCGCACTAGACCCATATTTTTTATAGACCAATCAGCATGTAATCCCCCTTTGCATCCCAGGACATTGCCTACTAACGATTTTAGTTTGGGTTAGCCTGGGAATCCAAGTATAAACATCGAGCTTGATGCAAATGTGATCACATCCACTGTCGTGCTGCTGCAGCTTCCATGAAAAACTTACTAATAATAAATCCTGTGCAAGGGAAGTCAGTAAGTAAGTCACAAATGGTTATGGGATGGCAGGAAAATGTAGTTGGTGGGTTCTTAAGGTGTCATTTGGTGACAGCAACATCGAAATTTATGTCTCTGTGCGTTAAGTGATGCTAGGTGTTGCATGCACATTCGCAACATAGAAACAAAAGGTAACTCTACTTACAGGTGTGTACCCTCAAAGAACAATGTGCTGTTGTGCGTTTATTTTAGGCAAAAGGGATGCCTGCATTCATAAGGAAATGCTTCCTGTTTATGCTGAAAATGTTTATCCTGTAAAGCAGTGCATAGCTGGGTAAAGAAAAAAATTCTCAGAGATGCTCTAAAGTTGTTCATGAAGTCTGATATGTTGTCCTTTTGGGATATCAACAGATGCATATGTGCAGTGGGTGGAGGAGAGGCTTAAAGGTGACAGACAAGAAAAGGTTGACTCTGTAGCAGCTGCAACAGGGTGCTCACATGGTTCGACATACAACGTAATGCATGATTAATTGAAATTTAAGGATGTTTGCTCAAGATAGGTACCTGACAATTGCCTGCTGGGGACGAATCGTAGGTGCATCACTACCAGCCCAAATCCAAGTGTGCTTCAAAGCATTGAAAACATCCTTTTCACCTTATGTTGAAAAATTCAGGGTTACACCATCAGCAGGGTAGGTTTTGCTAACATTGTTCTAGGATTGTTAACCAGTGTTTTTAACCAGTTTAGAAAAAAGAAGTGGCAATGTGAACGCTGATTTCATACTGTAAAGTTCTATCGATGCTTCATGGTGCAGTTCAAACAAAACATCCAGGCCTATCAGGCATACTGACTAGAGGAGTACTGCTCCTTCATGAGAGTGCCAGCTGTTCCTTCTTGACAATGCCAGACCACATATGGATCAGTTAACTCAGGAGAAAATTAACCTAACTATCTAGGGTGGGAACTTCTGGAACATCTGCCTCACAGCTCCTAGAGATTTCCACCTTTTTTGTGAAGTGAAAATATAGTTTAGAAAACAGAGCACGCAGTTCTATGTAGCAGGTTTGGGAGGACTGATAAATCACTGGGACACGTGCATCGATGTTGATGAAAATTATGTTGAAAAATAAAGGGACGTGTATGTGTAAACATAAACAATTTTTCAAGTTGCTATCCTCTTTCCTTTTTTTAAAAATGTTTTTTAAACAGCCATCTGTGACTGACTTATTGACTTTTCCTCGTATTTTGCTACATTTTGTGTGTGTGTGTGAATAATGTTCCTGAATACACAAATATCTTTACATTTACAGTCCCATTTCTTGGGCCAGAGAGGCATGGTAGATGATGATTTTCTTGGCAAAGTGTTGGATGGTATGGCATTTGGAACTTTTGTGGCAGAAAGAGGTCCTCCATACAGAGTTTGTGATATATTTGATGAGGTAAGTGTTGTGTTTGGCAGAAGATCCAAAAAAAATAAAAAGATTTCCAGCTAGGTAATGAGAACATTTATCACAATGGAAGACAATAATGTATTTCTTTAGGGAATCAAGGGCATGGGTGATCTTGCCAGGGTGTGAAGAGGCAGAAATGATCTTATTATTCATAACTGACAAGAATTTACTTGCAGCAAGCTGTAAAACTGGGTGTTGTAATAATAGTTTCTTAGCTCTTTTATTGTAATATAAAAAATGTACATTTAACGAAGAAAAAAGCTGCAATTTTAATAAAGAATCATTGTGCAGAATGTCAGGGAAAGACCTATGTATACAAGAAAAACAAAGCTGGTGTTTTGATTGTTGCATTATCACCGTCAGGCTTATTTCAATGTGCATCTGTCTGAAAGGCAAGAAACCAACAATCTGCACATAAATAAGGCAGAACTGTAAAAAAAAAAAAAGGATGTGCACGCAACACTCAAGTCCTGGAACAAGACTAGAGTCCAGGTGTCGGGCTTCTTTCGATGTGCTTCTGCCTGAGAGGGAAGAAACCAACTAGCTGCACACAAATAAGCCAGAACTGTAAAAAAAAAAAGGATGTGCACGCAACACTCAGGTCCTGGAACAAGACTAGAGTCCAGAAATGGATTAACAACCAGGCCTTTACGCTAGAGTTTACAGCCGATAAACATGACAAAGAAGAAGCTCAGGCTAATCAGTTCAAAGTTGTCAGAACACATTGAATACATTCTCAGCTTAGCCCCAATCACAGCACTGATGTTCTTGCATTGTACTTGTTTAGTTGTTTTTCCCTAAAGGAATTTTCCTTTCAGTATTTTCATTAGTAAATTATCCATCTGTAATAGTGTGACTTCTGTATGCATTTGCTGCATGTTTCTAGATTTTGCCAGCTCTTGTTGACTAATTGTTTGTTGACTAGTTTTCAAATGAGACGTAGAAGGGCAGTATGTATGATTTTTCACTGGCACCGGATTGGAACAGTTATGGGTGACCTGTTTGCAGTGAAAATGCAACCTCTTCTGCTACTATTTCTACTGTTGCTGCTGCTAAGGAAACTGCTGAATTGTTTTCAGGACTGTCCTTTGAACGATGAGGTCAGGTGGCTGTATTATTCCTATTGTTCATCAGATGTTTGAACTGCTATATTCTGATTTTTGGATAAAGCTGGTATTGCTTATATTATTTTTTAGAATCCAGTTGTTTAACTCTTTGAGTCCCAAGGAACACATCATATGTTCATAGGTTCTTACCTAGCGGCCCAATGAACGCATGATGCACCGATTTTACGTCTCTCTTGACTACTCCTTGGGCCTCTGATGCTAAACCCTCTGGGACTCAAAAAGTTAAACTTTCCACATAAATCTTTCCTTTTCTTCTTTTGCTTCTGTTTTCTAATATTTCCCCACCTAAGCTACGTTTTCTACTGCACCTGTTCTGTTGATATGCTCCATAAATGATTTATCTTCTACTATCAGTTTTAATCTTTGATGAATGTTCTTGTAATACCCACAGCTTTTATTACCTAAACTGTTGTTTTCTTCTCTGAATTATCTTTTTAAAAGCCACATTTCCACCATTGCTTGTCATCATCTCATTGTTCGTTTCCCCTGTGTTGTTTCTGGAGACCAGTTATGATAGAAAAAGACTAAACCTTCTGCCCCGGAACAAGCATGTTGTTCACTCTTTGAGTCCCAGGGGGTTTAGCATCACAGGCCCAGGGGGTAGTAAAGAAAGTAATAAAATCAGCGCATCATGTGTTCATTATGCTTCTAGGTAGAAACCTATGAACGTATGATGCCTTCATTGGGACTCTTTTTCTTCCTCTTCTTCTTCACTTCCTCTTTTACCGCTGTGGGTGTCGAGGGAGATTTGAGGTTCTGTTTCTAGCTCTTCTGGCTGCCTCGACCATAGGCACATTGTGCTGTTGTAGAGTTTCTCTGATGTTATCCTTCCATCTTGTTCTTGGGACTCAAAGAGTTAAATGCGACTATTTAGACTTTTGTTGAAATAGGATGTATGGTAACTGAAAGGCACGGATTTCACAACCTGGCTATAAACCACAATACAACCTGCCGGCTGCTATTTTAAGACACATGAGGAGGAAGTTTCTTCATTTCTGGTTGTGAATATACAAATATAAATGCATGTCAACGCTCTCAAATATTCCTAAGATGGCCATAGCACAGTAAACGTGATCATTATTAAAATGAATAATATCTCAGGGTGTCGTTTGATGAAATGAACTCATGGATATGTTGCAGGAAGTCCCCAACCAACAACCTTACGTTCCCAAAGTGCCAAAGCCAACCGAGGGTGCATACACCAGGATACACCAGCCTCAGTTTCCTACACTAGACAGCAAGGCCATACAGGACATGATTGATCAGGGTCTCTACAGCAACAATGTGAAAAAGTAGGTTCACCTGAATGTACTTCTCCCTGCTCTTAATGGAGTTTGACATGTGTGCTTTTGCAGTTTATTGAATTTGACATTTGTGTTCTTCTTTTGCTATTTATTGAATTTGACATTTGTGTTCTTCTTTTGCTATTTATTGAATTTGACATTTATGTTCTTCTTTTGCTATTTATTGAATTTGACATTTGTGTACTTCTTTTGCTATTTATTGAATTTGACATTTGTGTACTTCTTTTGCTATTTATTGAATTTGACATTTGTGTTCTTCTTTTGCTATTTATTGAATTTGACATTTGTGTACTTCTTGTGCTATTTATTGAATTTGTCATTTGTGTCCTTTTTCCGTTAATTCTATGGCAGATATTAAACTTTTGGCATGCATCTTTCTCTGTCTTCCTTTGCTTCTCATGCCTTTATTTTCCCACACAAAATAATTTCTGTTTACATAACCTGCAAATTGCAATTATCTTTTCCTGTTTAATTTTTCTGCACCCTTTGGGAACAAGCAATGGAATGAGTGGAGAAAGAAGGTTATTATGGCCTGGAGAGAATGAGGCACCTGGGTGTAACCAGAGGATCTGGCCGGCTCACTACACTCAAGTCAGACAAAGGCAATTCAGACATATAACCAGATTGTGTCCGGTACCATCAGTATTGGAACTCTGCGCTTGCTGCTGAAGATGAGGACAGAGCATGCATGGGAATGCCCTAAGTGCTGTGATGTCAGTTCTTGACTCAACTCAGCTCGACTTATTTTCTTGCATGAATGTTTAACAGCTGCAGCTCTCAGTATTTCAGCATTTTTTTTTTTCTTCTCAGTGTTTTTGTTTATTTGAAACCACATCCCCACTGACTACCATTGGGGTGTCACCTGTTCATGGAATAATGAGATGTAGAAACAAAACTCCCTTCAACAGATTTCTCTCTAGACACTGTCCTGAAAATTCTGAAAATTATCTTTCCAAATTGCCTTATCAGAAGGTGAAAGGGTGGGGTCTTAGCCTAATCTCAAGAGATAAGGGTCACTGCATTCTATAATCATCATCTCATATCGAGGGCCTTATGCTTTAATGCTGTACTTGATGTCCTGGATTTTAACTCTTTGAGTCCCAAGAAACGCATCATACGTTCATAGGTTCCTACCTAGAAGCCCAATAAACGCATAGATGCGCTGATTTTATGACTTTCTTTACTAGCTCCTGAGCTTGTGATGCTGAACCCCCGGGACTCAAAGAGTTAATTTATTGGTTATCTCTTGTGTGGCTCATTGAAGCTTTAGTATATATATAGTTTTATGTTCATGCACACATGCACCTACGAGCACACGTGTATACACACACCCAATCCACTCCATAAACTTCAATTATATGCACACATGCACCTATGAGCACGCGTGTATACACACACACACACACACACACCAAATTCACTCCATAAACTTCAAATATATGCACACAAATATATACACACAAGGAATCTTTCCTGTAATATTTATAGTTTTATGCCCGTTCAGCTTTATTTGAATTGTTCCGTTTTGGTTTGTCCCACTGCTGTTACACATGTTTTTGCATCACACTTTTTATATATATTTTTTGGTCTTGCTGTTTCAGGCTGGGATGTGTCAGACCCCAACAGATGAGAATCGTTCCTATGGGTCTGCCTCTGGGTTCATGGAGTATACAGAGGACACTGGAAAATAATACTCGACGACTGGAAGTTCTCAAGAGCTGTGTGAACTTTATCTTTGACAACAAAATATCAGATGCACGAATTGTGGGTTTTCATGTTGTGTCTGTCAGAGTTCTCATTGTGCGGATGTCTCCCTCGTGAGAAATTTTTCTGGCTATTGTCCATTTCGTTATGTTACTAAAATAAATAGCATTAAATTTAAAAATTTGAAAAACAAAAACTGTGGCTGAACTAAAATGCTTCATGATTCCCTTGTGATGTGAGACTTTTAAAGAAAGAAATAGCAAAACAGTGGAATGTATTTGTGTTTTAACTGTTCATGCTTAATGCTTTTGTTAGTAAACTATAGCTGTCCTGTGGAGCCACATAAGTTTAATGGAAAACTTCTTCACCTCTGGTGGTCAGATGCAGTGCACTTTATGTTTTCGACCTGTCCAGTCACCTAAGTTCTGACTTCTTGTCTTTCTTAATTGTCTTAATCACTGGGCGGATCCGCACCAGGCAGATGGGTCGGCCTGATTTTCTCACACAATACCCAGGTTTAAGGCAAATTGCATTTATGTGGTCAATTTTCTTGCACTTTGGGAACAAGCAACGGAATCAGTAAAGAAAGAAGATTATTATGGCCGAGAGAATGAGGCACCTGAGTGTAACCAGAGGGTCTGGCTGGCTCACTACACTCAGAGGAAAGGCAAGACTGACTTTTAACCAGATTGTGACCGGTACCATCAGAATTAGAACTCTGCACTGGCTGCTGAAGATTAGGATGGAGCATGCATGGGAATGCACCCAGTGCTGTGATGTCAATTCTTGACTCAGCTCAACTCTTAATCTGCCTTTTCCCCTCTACTGATTTATGCAGTTTTGCTTTGGAAAGGCTGATAGATCTTACTTGTCCGTACCATTGCATTTTCTCTTTTTACTATTGTTAAAAGTGGGTCATAGTTGCCAGTATTTGGCCCACAACAGCAGAATATATTTTAAACCATGAGAAAGATCAGCATTGAAGTGAATTAACGAGATGAAGAGATTCTGAACCAGATTTGGGGGTGCACCAGAACTAAGGCTCAAACTGGCTAGGACCTGTCTACATCTCTTCACAGTCATCTTAGAAACCGGCAGCCTGGCCAACATTTAGGATCAACATTTCCTTTAAAGTTGGAGTGCATTTGCAACAAATCAAGTCTGCACACAGATAAGGTATATCTATAAAGAGAGATGTGCACACAAAACCAATTAAACAAGGCAGAACCTAGAAGGGGAGGAACAACCAGAACTTTCTGCCAGAGTTTGCAGCCAGTAAACACAAAGAAAAAGATGATTGATAACATTAATATATTCCGACAGCATTACATAATTTTGATGACCAGATTGACACAATCAGTGACACGTATGCAGACAAAGAATAATTGATCACCTGATTAATTTTCTTCAGTCTCATCAATAAGCAAAACTAGATAACTTCTTTTTTTTTCAATTGCAGTTGGCTGACCATAGTAATATTCTTTTTCTTCTTCTTCTCATTTGTGTTTACTGGCTGTAACTTACAGAAAGTCCTGGCTTTTTCTATCCACTTCTGAAATCCTGGCTTTTTATATCCTCTTCTTTAGTCTTGCTCCAGAACTTAAGTTCTTTGTAAGTATTAATTTTACAGATCTATAATACTTTGATGCACAGGGTTGGTTCTCACCTCTCAAGCAGATACATTTCGACTTTGAAGGAAACATCAGCCATATCTATGGTGGCCAGGCTCCCCACTAGGGAACCTGTTTTTAGGATAGCCAGGGAGAGGTTTGGATAGGTCTTGACCAGTATGAACCCAGCTTCTGGTGACCATCACAGGTGGTTCAGCACCGCTGCATCCCATGTCTTGTATCATTTCTCTTATTGGTCTCCCATGAGTATTGCTGGTCATGAACAAGTTGTTGAAAAAGATTGTGTACATGCACATGTCCCTTTGTCTGCACGGTGATAGTGTGTGTGATGATTGATAGTGTGTGTGATGATTGATAGTGTGTGTGATAGTGTGGATAGTGTGTGTGTTGATAGTGTGTGTGTTGATAGTGTGTGTGATGATAGTGTGTGTGTGTGTTGATAGTGTGTGTGATGATAGTGTGTGTGATGTGTTGATAGTGTGTGTGTTGATAGTGTGTGTGTGATGATAGTGTGTGTGTTGAAAGTGTGTGTGTGATGATAGTGTGTGTGATGATAAGATTTTTACCTGTGTGTTGGTACAGATTTTCCCTGCTGTGCTGAGAGCATTGAAGTCCAGCACAGCCAGGCTGGCACTGACACACGAACTTGGGGAACATGTCCGCAGCAACCAGGCAATGTTGGATCCTCAACAGTTTGACTTTGTGGTCAAACTTCTCAACTGTGCCCTCATGGTGAGTTTTATTTTAAGGATTGTAAGATTTAAAAGTTTTACTTGACCGGGAAAACACTCACTGAAACTATTGACTGTAAATAACATGACTCTGCTCATTTTGTCTTTGTGCTTTTCCATTGGCTCTTGTACTTACCGGTAAGAGACAGCATTGTTATAATGTCAAACTTCTTAACAGTGTCCTTATGATTGAGTTTGTTCTTTTTTTAGGATTTGAAAAGTTTATTTTAACCAGGAAAACATTGAAACTGTTTACTGTAATATCGACAAACAGATAATCTTTAAAACGCTGCCTAGAGCTATGCTCAGGCATACTGTATTTTATTACCATCTTCTTATACAAAACACAGTTCAGAATCATAAAAGATATGGAATCCACATAAAGACTGAAGAATACACTCAATCAGAAGAGCAATTTATGCCCTTTGAAGTTCCTATATATAATTCTTCCATTTCTTCAGCAATGTTCTAATGATCTTTCTAGGGTTTAAATGTTTCACCCTTACAGGAACAATCTCAATCAGTATCAGAAACTTTCAGATTTCTTATAACATCCTGACATACACTCACTGTCTCAGTCACCATTTTGATGTCTTTCGTCACCTCTACACCAGCAGTTTGAATTATTAACAAACATCCATCTGGGCTTACAACATAATTCCCCTTATCTTCAAAATGAGTTTATTTATAAACTTTTTTTCACTGGATGATCTCATCTGCTATAGCTTGTTTTTGGTCTCTGAGGTCATGGCTGCTCTTGAAGCTAATGCAGCTAGGAGAAGCAAGTAATTGACAGATCAGTGAAAGTTTATTAGAAGCACGTATCTAACAAGTTAATAATACAATCATGCTAAAAAAGACAGGCAGAAAATAGTTGACAAGTCAGTGCTGTAGGTGTCAGGGAAGTAAGTGATTGCCACATTGACAGGGCAATAGAATGCACTCAGTTTAAGAGAAACAAATGATTGGAAATTAATACCAACTGCCTAGGGGAAGCAAATGATTTGCAGGTGAAGTATAAAGGAAGCAACAACAAACAAACAAAAAAAGGCAGGATCTGAAAGTGAATTACAGACAACTTGAAGTACTGGTAAATGGCATTTAAAAAACAAAAGCTGAGCGGTTCCTGTTGGTTTGGCACTAGATATTGTGGCTTTAGGGCCATTAGGATGGCAAACCAACATTTGTGGCGACTCACCCTCACCACACAAACCATTGTTTCTGGGATTGAAACACTAACACACACACATGCACATGTGCGTAAACACACACATACACCTTCACACTAACATGCACACACACACAAAAAATGATTAACAGTCACGTACAAACAATTCAAGAGAGCAAACTTACTAAAAAAAATCATAACTTCTGAAATAATATCATATGTTTACTTACAGAATGATTCTAGCTTAGATGAGTATGGTGTGGCTGCAGCTATACTACCACTGGCTACAGCCTTTTGTCGAGTAAGTATCATTAATTTGTTCTGTCAGTAGTCATATGGGGTAATTTATTCTAGAATAGGGTAGCTGTGGTTTTTTTTTCCTTCATTCAGATCATCTATTACACCCCACCCAAACAGAATCCAGCAGAAGCAAATCCTAGAAACTCTGCTCAGCCATCAAACAGTTATATTCGAACACTCTACAGCAGGGCTATTCAGCTGGCGGCCCATGGGCCAAGTGTGGCCCGAAGAGGACTAGCAAATGGCCTGCGGATTACCTGTATTGTATTAATGCTCTTTCTATGCTGGGGCGTAGTCTTCTGGCCTGCGACGATCTCCATTTCCCTAAATCTGGCCCCTCAGCAAACTTAGTTGAATGGCCCTGCTCTACAGCTACCTACGTTGTAGTTGTAACATGGGGCTCTATATAACTGTTTTCTACGGCCCAGTTGGGTTTCTGGAATTGCTTCTGTTGGATTTGCATCCAAATGGGGGCTCTTTGTGTCACGATGTAGGGGGGTTAAAAAGGAAATGATGTTCAAAAGTTTGCACATTTTATATTAAGGATTAATTACAGATTATGTTCAGTTTTGCTGTGCTTGCAGAGAACAGTCTGACTTGTATTGATTGAAATGGAAGCATTTATTGTGTCTGTAATGTTCTATTTAAATTATGTGTTGGAAGGACTGATGATTTACTTCTCATTTCTGAGCTGAGCACGTAAGGATAATGATAGCCATTCATCCCTGCGTAGCACGTGTGAAGCGTACTTTATGTTATCTCACACTTGTGAAACCGTGCATTGCTTGTGACTTGAACATTTTCATTCTGTTAACCATTCAAACATACATTTTTTTTATATTACATATGGTATCTGGCCTCTCCAGAGCACAGCAGAAACAAATAAGAAGATGTGCATGCAAGTTGTGAATGTAAAAAAATCCCCATTTCAGTTAAAATCACCAAAAGTAGGCGTTAGGCCCTCGGAAAATAAAAGAAAGGAAAGAAAGAAAGCTGGCCCAGGGGTAGAGAGCCTCCTACTTTAGTGGAATGTGTTTAGAGGGAATCAGTCATACACAAATGCCAAGGTCACCGACCTCTGAGAGGTGCACAATTTAATGGGATGAACTCCCCTCAGTAATGGAATGCAGAAGAAGATCATTATAATAGTTATACTTCTTGTCATTCTGTAGATAGTGACATTCTTTGAGCATGTCTGTGTGTTTGTACAACAAGAAAATGGCAGAGTGACACCGAGAAATGCCATCATTGAAAGGTTCTTAAAAGGGTTCTTCTAAGTTCTGAAGTTACTGAATGTACAGGAATTGACATCACTAGTCTCGGCACATTCTTCAGTAGCCACCAAAAGTTGTCATGCTGAGTTGTCCTATGTAAATAATTATAAAATATAGCGATAGGGAATATTTAGTGACTTTTTTGTTTTTAATTAAAGAGGTAAAATGCCTCACATATTTTTAATTACGTGATTCCCTCTATGCAGAAACTGTGTACAGGGGTCATTCAGTTTGCCTACACACTGATTCAAGAACATGCTGTCTGGGGCAGCTTACAGTTCTGGGAGCAGACATTCTATCATGATGTGCAGTTACAGATACGGCAGCTCTACCTGCCAATGGTGTGTATTAGTTCTTTGTGGTCCTGCCTGTGAAATGACACTAAAACATGTCAGTTTTTGTGTGTGAGATCTGCCAGCTGTCTGTTGCAAATAGTACCTTAATGCAATCTGGCAACAAACTGTGGTTGATAGAATGAACACTTTTCTGTACTTTATCAGTCTTTAGCTCATAAAGCAAATGCTATAAATTGAAGACCTTTACTGGGATTCAATCCGCTAGGCGCATGCAGAATCTGCCTTATCTTTCTGTATCCTGCTCTGTCAAAACAGAGAATGATAAAAATGACATGATGGGGACTATAAATATAACTTCTTCAGAATGACCTGAAATTCCTTGTAAATTTCTAGGACGAAAGGGTGAAATTTAAATTTCAAGTTTCAGTAACGTGTCAGAATTACTCATAAAAGCCAGATCGCCTGTGGAGATAATGCTCTCACTATTAGCAAACAACTAACTGTCTCTTCGCTTACCCTACATTTGGATGTGCTTGCTTGGGAGGAGAACCTTCTGTTGTTGTTTTCCAGCAACTGCTGACTTCTTTGTAGATACCAGAACCATCTACAGGATTTTAGCATTTTAGGAAGTCTGCTTTTAGACTGCCTAGAGTAATGAGCTTATTATCAGTAGGAACTTCACCAACAAAGGGCGAAAGCCATCAACAGAACTTCAAGCAAGATAACATGAAGTGGAATCCAAGACTCTGTCATTTTAGAGGAAGCCTGGGTGACATAGTGGCTGGTACATCTGCCTGCCATGATTGTGGTCCAAGTTCAATTCCCTGAGGTGATGGGTTTCAGTCTGAGCAACCTGGCTCCTAGAGTGTCACACAAATAGGTAGCAGACAATTTCCAGAATTTTCTGGGAAATATCTGGAAAAGTGAAAGGGAATGGAACTGGTCACACCACTTCATAATTCCTGGCCTAAAATATGGGAAGGCATGATGGCACTGCCCATCTTAATGGCATCTTAATGGAGCTTTTAAGGAGGAGATCGGAGCACCTATGGATCTGTCCTTTCTAATCACTAATCTTAATGGCAGTATCTGCTATGGGACTACCGTTACATCTCAGACTATCATTAAATGATGAGGATAGGAGTAACAGTAAAGATAGATGTATTTATAATTATGTGGAGTGCTGTTGTGAAGCTTCTGAAGCTAATGGTGTGTTTCTAATGCAGTACGAGGAGCATATGGTGCTGATGTCCAAGTCCACTGACAGCAGTGAAGACTCTTCCAAAGACAGCTTGGAAGACAGCAGATCTTCAACACTCAAACCTAAACAGATTGGGCCTTTGGAGATAACTGCTGAACAGGTAAGTCTATTGCTATCTGTCAGCCTGGTCTAGTGCACATTTTTCATGTAAATTTCTGCAGTGAATACTGGGTATATTATTAAGTTCTTTAAGAAGTATTTTTTTAAGCATTCAGAATGGACTTAAAAAATAATAATAGGAATGGTCAAAAATATGTGCAATAACATGAAGAAATATTAACAAATTTGAGAGACCAACAATTCATTAAAATGGGAATCGTTAAATGTTATACCTAGGATCATTATATCGTGCAGGAACCTGGACTGTGAACAAATAGTTTACAAAGATAGTTTAGGGTTTTTGAGATGTGGGTGTACAGAAGAATATGTCTTATTTCACTGATTCACAACCTCTCAGATACAGAGAGAGACTGGAAGTGAAACGAGAGTTGGTCATGGACATTTTTTTTTTTAAAAAAGGGGTGGGGGGGGGGGGGGGGCTGAATTTCACATTGCAACAATACTGTAACATCATATTTGGAGGCAGGTTAGAAAGTTCAGATTAAGTTAATGGACCCTGTCTCAGAGTGTACAACATTGGCAACAGATAGATTTCATGTGTTCAAACTATTTGCTTGGTACAGCCTATTTCATGTGTTGGTTGGCATGTTTATTACTTTTGTTTTCTTCACTGTTGAGATGTTCTAGTTCAACGGCTTTCAACCTGTGGGTCGTGACCCCTTTGTGGGTTGAACGACCCTTTCAGAGAGGTTGCCTAAGACCATCGGAAAGCTCATATTTACTGAAACTATGAAGTAGCAACGAAAAAATTTTATGGTTGGGGGTCACCACAGCATGAGGAACTGTATTAAAGGGTCAGGAAGGAAGGTGAAAAATATAGTTTTAAAATTTCCTTTCATGCTGAGAAAATATGTAAGCTTTTAAATTTAAAGTACATTTGATGCTGAAAATGTGTAAAGAATATTTATAGCTTATGAGCTTATTTCATGCTGGTAATGTTTTATCTTGTAACTGTAAAACCACACTTGGGTACCAACAGTTGAGAATCTGGCCAACCATGACCAGCGAGCAGCAGCAGGAGATGATTAACAATGAAGAATCGACTGTGTACAGCCAGGCCATACATTACGCCTACCGCATGGTGTACATGAGAGTCAGTCTAGATGTTTCCAGATCTATGAAAAACATGGCGCTAGATGAGAACAGCAGTACAGTCACGCCCAGGTAAGGGTACGGTCCACTTGGTCACTGATCACTAAAACAGATGATAGTTGTACATTGTCCACAAAAGCAGATATCTCTTGTTTGTCATCCACTAAAACAAATGATAGTTGTACATCATTTACTATAACAGATGATAACTTGTATATCTTCTTCTTCTGTGCGTTCACCAGCTGTAAACTCTGGCTGTTCGTTCGTCCACTTCTGGACTGCAGTCCTATTCCAGAACCTGAGTGTTGCGTGTACATCCATTTTACAGATCTGACTCATCTGTATGCAGACTGCTGGTTCCTTGCCTGTCAGGCAGGTGCACTTTGACTACAAAGGAAACTTGTATATCATCCACTAAAGCAGATGATCATTTGTACATCATCAACTAAAATAGATGATAGTTGTACATCATCAACTAAAATAGATGATCATTTGTACATCGTCAACTAAAATAGATGATAGTTGTACATCATTTACTATAACAGATGATCACTTGTTAATCATCCACTATAACAGATGATCACTTGTACATCATCCACAAAAGCAGATGATCACTTGTACATCATCCACTATCACAGATGATCACTTGCATATCACTCACTGTAACAGATACTCACTTGTACTTCATCCACTATGACAGATGATCACTTGTATATCATCCATTATTACAGACACTCACTTGTACGTTATCTACTAAAACAGATGATAGTTGTACATTATCCACCATAACTGATGATCACTTGTATATCATCCACTATAACAGATGATCACTTGTGCATCATCTACTGAAAGAGATGATAGTTGTACATTGTGCACTAAAATAGATGATCACTTTTACATCCTCCACTCAAAACTTGATCATGTTTACACCATCTACTAAAACAGAAAATCATTTGTAATGGAACAGGTGATAGTGGTACTGTGAAGAAGTAGAGATAAGAGGAGAAACTGGAGAACATAAAAATGAAAATCTACACTTTCCAGACTAAGACTCAAACCTGCCACCCTCCAGATGATGACAGCACCTCGCTGTGGGAACAAGTGTTCTTCAGCACATAAACAACTTAAGACTCTTTTTTTTTTTAAATATTAATTTATCCTAGGGTGTCATCATCCAGGTCTGTCATATCTCTGAACAACAGCAGAATATGGACAAAGTTTGTGTCTAACCATTCACATAGCATCATCTGTTTATTACTTGTGACATTTCTCATAACATTTGCACACTTTATTCACACATGTGGACCTGTTTTTGCAACATCTTTCAGTGTGGCAGAAAGTGACAGTCTGGATGCAGAGAGTGGCTTCGATGAAACCGAGCAGACAGATGTTGCTGCTGTAGTGACTAAGTTTGTGTCTCGTTTTGTGGACAAAGTGTGCAATGATAGCAGCGTCACACAGGAGCATGTCAAAACTTTACATCAGATGATACCTGGTATGATTTTTCTTGTGTGTTTGTTTGTTTGTATTGAAGTTTAACCAACTGTAGGTGTGTTAAGCTAAAGGGGTAAAGTAAGGTGTATTATATAAGTGACTGTTACAACTAAATGGTGAAAGTAACATGTATTATGTAATTGTTTGTCGCAGCCAATATTTTTTTTTTTCAAGTTTTAACAGAGAAAAAAGGACACAATTATCACTAAAATATCTGCCAAGAATAATGGCCTTTGCATCCTTTAAAAGGTAAATGGCTGCCAAACTCAGGGAGTTGCTGTGCCACATTTTGATGACATTAATGTCATTAGGGTGTCAAATGTAAATGACTGTTATAGCTAAGTGGTAAAAGTAAGATGTATTATGTAATTGTATGTCGCAGCCAAATTTTTATGTGTGTGGTCATTTTGATGACAATGACATTAAATTTCATAATTGTGCGTCTGAAACATGTTAATTTGTCATATGTTTTTCTAGGGTACCTTACTAATTGATACAATGTATTTTTGTAGTAAGTAGATAATTATATTTACACCAAAAGATAAGCAAGCCTCATATAGTTTTATTATTATAACATTGCTTGTGAACTGTGTGCCAGGTGTTGTTGCTATGCATATCGAAACCTTGGAGGCTGTGAATAGAGAAAGCAAGCGTTTACCACCAGTACAGAAGGTCAGTTGAATTTAATTTTCACATCTGTTCTTAAACTTACAGTAGATCAAATTTTCTTTTTCTTTTCTTCTTCCTTGTACTTGTATCTCTCTCATGCGGGACAGGAGGATAATCTCAGACTCTACTAAATAGTTGTATGGCCACTTAATTAGTCAGCTACTTTCTTATCTTAAGCTTCTTCTTTTTCTTTCTCTTCTTCTTCCTTTTTCTTGTCTTCTTGCTTTTTTCTTGTCCTGCTCCTTCTTTGTCTTATTCCTTTTCTTTTACTTCTTGATCTTTTCGTCTACTTCCTCTGCCTAGTCTAGATAAAATAAAGGTTTATTTTGAATATCCGATATTAGGTTAAGCTGATGTTGGTTTCTTATGTTATTTGTTACCATAATGTTTCAACTTCCTACCATTGTCTGTCTTCCTTTGCATCTTTTGTTAAATAATCCACACATCAGGCTAATTTCTGTATTTTTACCTCTCCCTATGCATCTTGAATTTTTAATATTAAGATTAGAAAGCTGTTAGAGGTACCAAGACATGTCTCCTTCATAGCATTCAAAGTCAGCTGAAAGTCACATGGATGGCTAAGAAGACCAGAGTTTCAGGGCTGCTCGAGTAAACTCACAAAAACATCACTACATCAGCATTAGTTAGGTAATTGTGTATCCTTTACAGGATATTGCAGAACCAATCCCAACAGCCCCTGGCTGTTGTGTAGTTTTTCCAAGCAAATTTATGTCCAGTAGTTTGCCATTGCTTTCTGGACGGTCGGCTTTCTTGATACCACTCGAAACCAACGCAAGGCGCGTGGCCCGCAGCTACATCAGCATTAAATATTAGTAATTACTTGGTCATATTATGAGAGAAGAGGATCTGTTGAATGATGTTTTACCTGAGTAAATTGAGGGATTTAGAGACAAATGTGAGAGCTGCTGTAATTCAGTGGTTAGATGCTGGCCTGGGATCTTGGGTCAGATCTGCAGCTGGGTGGATTGAATAGCTGACCTGGAGTTCCCAGGTTAATCCAGCATATTGAGTAGCAGGTAATGTCGTGGGCAGTAAACGTGGCCAGTGGAATGATGTTGACCACATCACTAATCAAGTGTCGAATGGCCTTTAAAAATGTCTGATGTGTCTATCAGTAGCATAAAAAATATGTGTTGTTGTTTTTTTCTATTTCCTTTTCTATTTTTTTTTTTAAACAGAAATAGACAATTCCTGAAAGGTTTAAAGAGGGACAGAGTAGATCAGCAATCAGGCCTATCGTGAAAACTGAAAAGAAATTGTTGTGGAGAAACTCGATGGCCTGCAAGTGATGATGACGATGATGACACTGTAGGAATGACACTATGTGATAAACTGGGTGTCTTGTAGCCTGTAGTATTCCATTTACTTATCTGTCCACAGCCCAAGATTATCCAGCCTGTGCTGCTGCCAGGAGAGGAGATTGTTATGGAGGGTCTCCGAGTCTATCTGTTGCCAGATGGACGTGAAGAGGGGACAGGGGGTAACTTGGGAGGCCCCAGCTTTTTGCCAGCTGAGGGGGCAGTGTTTCTGACAACTTACAGAATTATCTTCAAAGGCACGCCGTGTGATCCTTTCGGTATGACCTTGGTTGTTCATTGTTGCTTTGAGACAGCATTGTTTGGTATTTGTATTTTCTGTTAGCAGTCAGATGGTTTCACATACACACAAAATTTATGGAAATGTATAAACATATTATCAGTCATCATCCTGATTCTTCTTATCCTCCTCTTTCTGCTTCTCTTCCTCCTTGCTTCTTCTCCTCCTCCTTCTCTAATGTTCACACTTAAAAGGGTGGTTGATATCTGCACCCGTTTGATCAACATATCTGACTGCACCACACCCTTAGCTCAGGGCCTGTTCAGCTGGCAGCCCCTGGCTGAATCCGGCCCATGGATGCCTAGCAAGTGGCCCATGGAGCATTGCCAGTTGTATTGTATTCTTGATTTGTCTATGTTGATGCTTGGACCTCAGGCCTTCCACGATCCCCAGTTTGAAAATGTTGGCCCCTGAGTGAACTTAATTCAACAGCCCTGCCCTAGCTAGTTGCCCTGTATGACAGGTTTGTTGAGGGCAGTGATTCTATTTGTCTTTCTCCAAAATGGGGGTCCCAAGAAATTACACGGGAATTATCCTAAATCCATCCCTTATGGCACTTGTCATCGTGTCCGTCCAGAGCCGTCTGTCACATGTACGTGATGTTTTTCCATACCAAAAAGCTAAACTAGCATCTCTCTTTGTTTTCCCCTGCCTCTCTCCCCTTCAAACTATCCTGTTGTCAAAATGTACTCCGGTTTTTTCCCTTCTCATGTCATGTCCTGAAGAATATTGATTGTCTTCATCTGATGTGCACCAGCTCTCTTTGTTGTTTAACTTATTTGAAGACATCTTTATCATTTCTTTTTTTTTTTTCTAAATCTCTCCATAATGTTCTAAACATTATTCTGTAAAAACACATCTTGGCAACTTCCACATAATTTCTCACTCATCTACACATTCCATGATTCATATCCAGATTGGCTGTGAATAGCTCTTCAGAACTCTCTTGCCATTGTTGTCAAATACAGCGGCTGTGATTGTTTGGTGATATGTATAGCTACGCATAGAGATGAGTTGCTAAAAGACCAAGAGAGTGTGGAAGTAGACATAGGGAAATTTGTTTTTGGGATATGACATTATCCAGGAATAGTAGAAAGACAGAAAACGTAAAACATAATTTACATCATATGCTGAACAAATTATGTTTTTAAAATAGTTCAAATTAGTCTTATTCTTAACGTTCACCAACTGTAAACTTTGGCGGGAAGTTCTGGTTGTTCTTGCTCTCCTGGACTTTAGTCTTGTATCAGATGTTGAGTTTTTTTTTTTTTGCACATCCGTTTTACATATCTGGCTTATTTCTGTGCAGACTGTTGGTTTCTTGCCTCTCAGGCAGGTGAGCTCTGACATCCAATGAAACGCCCCTAATTAGTCATCGCCTTGTACAACATGCTTGTTGGGGGGGGGGGGGGCAGTGGGCCTGTTCTTTTCTCTAAAATAGGGCCCTGGAACCCACATGGAGAGTTGGCTAAATAATTTGCTGTATGCTCTTATTGTAGTTTTCAATTCATTTAGTCAAGCCAGCTGTTAATAAAGTGTCTTTTTTTTTTCTGTCTACCTCCATTCACTAAAATGTTTACAGCTTGTGAGCAGAATGTGATCAGAAATTTCCCAGTGTCATCTCTGATCAAGGAAAAGAAGATCAGTGTGCAGCACTATCTGCCTCACCTGGACCAAGGCTTGCAGGAGGGTCTACAGCTGCGATCCACAGTGTTCCAGGTATGTCTGAGACCTCTCTCATCTCTCCATAGGACTGTCTGTCTGTTGGTAATCTGCTTGATTTGTCTTGTGCAATCATCACCAGTCTCAGGTCATTTTGCATTCTTGTCCTGATGATGCATGACCAAGCCATTTGAGCATTTATCTCTTTTGCCACCTATATATCACCATCATTGTTCTGTTGTGCCCTTATATACCTTTTAGGGCTTGTGGTCTTTTTCCGCAGTCTGTTCTCTGCTGTGCAGTCAGTTCAGTATGGATGGAATCCACTTCAGCACCTTTAGCCTCTTTCATCAGCATTCATTTTTAGGGTTTCTTTTGGGCATCCTTGCCTCTTTAATCACTTTATTTCCCATTTTAGTGCCTGTTTGGTAATAGTCAAATTCTCCGCTTATTTTTTTTTAAAGGATGTGTCTAGTATAGCAACATCTTCTCTGTCTTATAACTGTTGGTGCTTGTGCTTGCCCAGATATTTCAATTTTTTTCTTCACCCCTCTTGAATTTGTCCCATTTTATGTTCATTGTTTTCCTCAGAAATTTGTTTTCAAATGCATTTAACTTTTGTTTCATGTCTTTAGTGGTTCTCCAACTTTCACTGGCATATGTTAAAACTTAACATTGGAATTGAAAAGATGTAGTTTGGTTTTAAAACTATACAATTTAAAAGTTCCTTATTTTGTTCAGGCTTTTAAAAGCTGCTAATGCCTTGCCAATGGGTGTCATTATTTTTTTCTTTGAATTTTACTATCACAGTTACTACCTCAATAAGTAAATTGATCTGTTACTTTAATTACTTGTGCCTCTAGTGTTAATCTGCTTGATCTGTTGTTGATGTCTTCACTATATTTGTCTTTCCATAATTTATTTGTAGTCCAACCCTTGTTGCTATATTTGCTATACCATCTGTTTACCACAAATATATCTAGGAAGTATATTCTTGGAAGATGGGAGAATAGATCAGGAAATAAAAAACAAGGTGCCAGCAAGCCAGTGAACTTATGCACCAAAAGACACCATTATTAAGACATCCAAACATTTAAAAACATCACCAAGAAACAGATTATAAATAGTATATTCATACTCAACTATGCCACCAGTGCCAAATGTGGACATTTTCAAAGGCTGACATACAGACTGGAAACAACACCATGCAACAAATTGATTGAAAAACAGTAGGTCAGATGCTCTGGTCATCTCTCTATAATGCAGTCGCATCAGCCTCCAACACAAGCATGCACATGAAAAGATCTGAAGTGAAAGCAAGAGATATCACCACATGAGAAGAGGGATTGATGACATTAAAGACCTTCTACATCGACACAGAAAGACAATAGACATTGCTACCCATCAAGCAGTGAATTGCAAACTGTTCCTCCTAACGAAGCTTAACTGCGTACATACATACATGTTCCTGTTCTGCCATTATATGTCAGTCTTTTCCTCATTCCTATATATCCTGTGCAATTAGTTCGATGTCCTGGATGGAATCCAGTCCAGGACCTTTGACCTCTCTCATCAACATTCAGGTTTTCTTTTGGAAGTCCTCGCTGTCCATTTTATTGCCTGTTCTATGATTCTCTGCTCATTTCTTCTCAGTATGTGATGCTTAACTGCAGAAGTGGAAATTGATGATGATGATGGCCATCAGGTTGCTTAGTGTCACTAAGTTTTAAGTTTATTTTAAGTATATTATCAATCTTGCTTGCCTACGTTTAATTCCCTCAATAAAAATTCCATTTTCATCTTTTCTTTAATCTGCTTCGTTTATTTTTCTGCCCATCTGTGTTATTATTTTTTACAACCCATAGGCATTATATCATGAGATTTCCTATAGCTTATACTACATAATTATCTATGACAGTGTGTCTTGCTGGTTGTAATGTTTGTTTTGTATTGTTTAGCTGATCAAGATTGCCTTTGATGAGGAGGTCGGCTCTGACAACATCGAAACATTCCGCAAGCTTGTCAGCAAAGTCAGAAACCCTCCTACAGTATTTACCACATTTGCCTTCACCGGCCACACCATACATGCCTCAACTCAAATGCAGAAAGGAAAGGAGAAGAATGCTTCTTTAAGGTAGCTAATGGGGGTTTTTTTTTTCAGTGTGAATGTCGGTAGTGTTATGAAAGGGTCTTTGTGAATGATGGTGTTAACAAATGGTTTTTGTGTGTGTCATTGTATTATCATATGTTTGTTGTGTAGAGTTATCAGATATTTTTTGTGAATGTCATAGTGATAACAAACATTCTTTATGAATGTCATAGTGTTAGCACATGTTCTTTGTGAATCATGGTGTTCACACAAATTCGTTGTTACTGTCATAGGTGTTAATAAATGCTGCTTGTGAATGTCAGTGTTAACAAATATTCTTTGTTAATATCAGACATGACAAAGTAGGAGTTTGCTAGGTTTGGGCGAAGTATGGTGTGACCTTGCTAGGGTAGCCAGCATGTATTAGTTGTTTTCTTTGTTTGTTTATTGATGTGTAGCTACACCCCAGCATGTATTAGTTGTTTTCTTTGTTTGTTTATTGATGTGTAGCTACACCCCAGTATGTATTAGTTGTTTTCTCTGTTTGTTTATTGATGTGTAGCTACACCCCAGCATGTATTAGTTGTTTTCTCTGTTTGTTTATTGATGTGTAGCTACACCCCAGCATGTATTAGTTGTTTTCTCTGTTTGTTTATTGATGTGTAGCTACACCCCAGCATGTATTAGTTGTTTTCTCTGTTTGTTTATTGATGTGTAGCTACACCCCAGCATGTATTAGTTGTTTTCTTGTGTTTTTATTGATGTGTAGTTTATTGATGTGTAGCTACACCCCAGCATGTATTAGTTGTTTTCTCTGTTTGTTTATTGATGTGTAGCTACACCCCAGCATGTTTAGTTGTGTTCTCTGTTTGTTTATTGATGTGTAGCTACACCCCAGCATGTTTAGTTGTGTTCTCTGTTTGTTTATTGATGTGTAGCTACACCCCAGCATGTATTAGTTGTTTTCTCTGTTTGTTTATTGATGTGTAGCTACACCCCAGCATGTATTAGTTGTTTTCTCTGTTTGTTTATTGATGTGTAGCTACACCCCAGCATGTATTAGTTGTTTTCTTTGTTTGTTTATTGATGTGTAGCTACACCCCAGCATGTATTAGTTGTTTTCTTTGTTTGTTTATTGATGTGTAGCTACACCCCAGCATGTATTAGTTGTTTTTTTGTTTGTTTATTGATGTGTAGCTACACCCCAGCATGTATTAGTTGTTTTCTTATCTGTTTGTTTATTGATGTGTAGCTACACCCCAGTTTTCTTTGTTTGTTTATTGATGTGTAGCTACACCCCAGCATGTATTAGTTGTTTTCTTTGTTTGTTTATTGATGTGTAGCTACACCCCAGCATGTATTAGTTGTTTTTTTGTTTGTTTATTGATGTGTAGCTACACCCAGCATGTATTAGTTGTTTTCTTTGTTTGTTTATTGATGTGTAGCTACACCCCAGCATGTATTAGTTGTTTTCTTTGTTTGTTTATTGATGTGTAGCTACACCCCAGCATGTATTAGTTGTTTTCTTTGTTTGTTTATTGATGTGTAGATACACCCCAGCATGTATTAGTTGTTTTCTTTGTTTGTTTATTGATGTGTAGCTACACCCCAGCATGTATTAGTTGTTTTCTTTGTTTGTTTATTGATGTGTAGCTACACCCCAGCATGTATTTGTTTCTTTGTTTTCTTTGTTTTTTTTGTTGATGTGTAGATACACCCCAGCATGTATTAGTTGCTTTCTTTGTTTGTTTATTGATGTGTAGCTACACGCCAGCATGTATTAGTTGCTTTCTTTGTTTGTTTATTGATGTGTAGATACACCCCAGCATGTATTAGTTGCTTTCTTTGTTTGTTTATTGATGTGTAGATACACCCCAGCATGTATTAGTTGCTTTCTTTGTTTGTTTATTGATGTGTAGCTACACGCCAGCATGTATTAGTTGCTTTCTTTGTTTGTTTATTGATGTGTAGCTACACGCCAGCATGTATTAGTTGCTTTCTTTGTTTGTTTATTGATGTGTAGCTACACGCCAGCATGTATTAGTTGTTTTCTTTGTTTGTTTATTGATGTGTAGCTACACCCCAGCATGTATTAGTTGCTTTCTTTGTTTGTTTATTGATGTGTAGCTACACGCCAGCATGTATTAGTTGCTTTCTTTGTTTGTTTATTGATGTGTAGATACACCCCAGCATGTATTAGTTGTTTTCTTTTTATGGGTAAAGAGAGAATGCCTGTGCAGACATGTTTGAAGAGACCTAACTCACTGACACACATTTTGTTTTATCTCAGGCAATTTGCCAAACGCACACTGCTGAAGACAGCAAGGAAGGCGGGTCTTAAGAAACAGACGAGGAGCAAACCAAAAAACTCCGTCACCAGTCCTCCAGCCAGCCGAAAAAGTGGAGGCAACCACTCTCCACGTTCGTCTGACAGTGAGTCAGAGTGCCCCAGCAGTCTTCATTATGATGATCTTTCAGGTGAATTTGTGTTCTGACCTGGACTGGTCTAGTATGTTTGCATGTGACAGAAATACCATTGTCCTTTGTTGTGTCTGTTGTTTGTACAAGCGGGTGTTCTACAATCTTTGAAACAATGGTCATCTTAAAGTGAGTGTTTAGCTATCTTAGAATGCATTAAAAAATTTTTTTTAAAGCATTAGTATTAGTTTTGTTCACTTAATGTTTGACAATCTGAGTTTTTGAAAACCATACTGTGCTTATTGGTTATCTTAGTACAGGTTTTTCAGCAGTGTGTCTATTTAACCATCTTAAATTGGGATGGAGCGCTTACGGGAGTGTCCCGAATACTGTGATGTCAATTTTAATTCAACATTTAATTCAACATTTCAACCATCTTAGATTTTTGGAAATTTTAATGTGGGTGTTTGATGACTTTAATGTAAGTGTTTGAACATCTCTGTGTGAGCATTGGACTATCTTAGTTTGATTTTCCAAGTAGAAAAGCAAAGAACCCTCTTCAGTGCCTTGAGTCACATATGGTGCTACCCCCATATTTGTATAGACTCAGCAGTACACGGTGGGTGACATGGTCAACAACATGCCAGCCATCTTTATTTTCTAGGGTATTGTAACGGTAGCCATTTTAGACTGGGTTCTCAGGTCCCGTTTGAGAAGGGGGATGGATCCACTGCCCCCTCCCCTTTTTTACCCCTCTATAGGCATGTCGTAAAAGTCTGCTAGTTAGGGGCGTTTCCTTCTGAGTCCGATTGTTTCTGTCTGAGAGATGAGGAGCCAGTAGTCTGCATTTAAAGTAAGCCAGATTTGTACAACTTTTGAACTTTGACATAAAACTCAATTTCTGTAACAAGGTCAAAAGTGAATGAACAGCCAGATCCTTCCACCAGAGTTTATAGCCATGGAACGTTGAGAAGAAAACAGGGTTGACCTGAGAGCCCAGGTGTGACTATTTATCTGCAACTGCAGTTTTAAAACAGTGACCACTGGCCTGGCAAGTAAGCAGGATCTTACCATTTTTTTTAGCCAAACACACAAGTCCATGAATGTGGGATTTATTGGTAATTAAATATCAACAGCAAATACTTAGTTGTACTAAACTGTGTTTTTCCTAACTAAACAGTCATAGATGAAAATGAGCTGATCCCATCCTACTCAAGTGATCCCAGGAATATTGAGCGTCTGATGGAGCGGCACGCTTACCAAGATTACCAGAGACTAGGACTAGGCAGCGTGGCAATGGCCGGTCAGCGTGGTGGACGCTCGGAACCTTTCAGAGTGTCCACTGTTAATTCAAATTATATACTGAGCAGAAGGTACTAAGTCCAGTTCATGTTGTGAAATATAACTACTGATTTATTTGGCAGATCTTCTTCTTCTGCCTTTCTATCCCCCAATGGAGCATAGGCCCTCAACCAACTCACGCCAAGTCGTTCTATCCTTCGCCATTGCATGGAGCTCTCCCCATGTCCTCCCCGTCTTTCTAACTTCACTCTCCAGCTCTCTTCTCCATGTGTTTTTTGGCCTTCCTTTATTCCTATGCCCCTGGGGGTTCCAGTGCAAAGACATTCTAGTTATGCTGTTCTCCTGTTTTCTCAATGTGTGTCCTATCCAATGCCAGCGTCTTTTCCTCACCTCTTGGTCCACTGGAGCCTGTTCAGTTCTCTCCCAAAGCTCTACATTAGTTATTCCATCATACCATTCAATTCCCTCTATTCTGTGCAGGCAGCATTACTTGTTATTGAATGTCAGTAATTTATTAGTAATTGCCTCCAGGTTTCTGCCCCATACAAAAGTACTGATTTGACATTAGAATTAAAAATTTCAAGTCTAGTATTTCTTTTAATTTCTTTTGACCTCCACAAATTCCCTAGGGCTATGAAAGCTCCTCTTGCCTTTTGTATTCTTATTTTAATATCTCTATCAGTTCCTCCATCTTTATTTACATTACTGCCCAAATAGGTGTATGACTCCACGTCTTGGAGTGGAGTGCCATTAAGAGAAACCACATTACTATTTGCCTGATTTATTCTCATTATCTTTGTCTTTTCTTTATGGATTTTTAGACCAAGCTGCTGTGATCTTGCATCAAGTATATTTAATTTATCTTACATCTGATTCCGTGAATGGGACAAAAGAGAAATATCAGCGAAGTCCAGGTCATCAAGCTGTTTTGTAGGGGTCCACTGAATTCCATTCCTGGTGTTAGCAGATACTGCCTTTATATAAATCCAGTCTATAGCCAGTAAAAATAAGAGAGGCGACAAAAGACATCCCTGTCGCACACCTGTTTTTATTTCAAATGTATCTGTTAGCTTTCCCTCATGAAGAACTCGACATTTCATGTCTTTATATGTTGCCTTTACTAAGTTAATAATTTTGTGTGGGATTCCATAGCGCCCCATCAATTTCCAGAGAGATTCTCTATCAATGCTGTCAAATGCTTTTTCATAGTCTATAAATCCAAGGTAAAGTGGTGAGTTCAGTTCAATGCTTTGCTCTATAATAATTCGTAATGTGGTTATCTGGTCCGTACAGGATCTGTTTGACCGAAAACCTGCCTGTTCATCTCTTAGCTTTTTATCAATAGATTTGGCAGATACTTTACTGTTATCATCGTAGATAGTTCACCAAAAATTTAAAAAAAATAACTTCAACAGATATTGTCTCTGGATGTTTGTTGAAATTTCATTAGCAATGCATAGTATGATGTTCTCTCAGAAGATGTTGCATAAAATATAGGTGCATCAAGGATGTAGCTGTATCAGAAAAGGCCAGCTAACACTGGTAGCCTTCCAGAGAGAAATTGAAGCTGTATACACAGTTCTTCTTCTTAAAGTCCAGGCTGTGGCATTGGTAGTCGTGTCCAAAGCCTTCTGTCTCGTGTACTTTCATTCAGCCCCGATAGAGGTGATCCTCTATGCCATGATGTCAAACTGTCCAGCATCTTTTCTCTCCTTCTGCCACTGTTTCTCTCCAACTTTCTTATTGTCACAATGTACTCGAGTTTTCTCCTTCTCATCACATGACCAAAGAATGAAGATTGTTTCTTTCTGATCTGGGCAATCAGTTCTCTTTGTGAGTCAGTTTCTTTTAAGACGTCTTCATTACTCTTTTTATCTGTCCAGGGTATTCTCATCATTTGTCTATAAAACCACATCTCAACACTTTCAAATATTTTTTCTAATCTACCAACTGTCCATGATTCACCTCCATATATCAAGATAGGATTTATAAAGCTTTTAAGAATTATCTTTCTTGTCCCAATTTACAAAGACATTCCATAAAATATTCTTTATTTTGTAAAATGCTGCCTTTGCTTGGGCTATTCTACATTTAGTTTACTTTAATACATCTTCCATGTGATGTTATTAGGGTACCCAAGTACTTGAACATGTCAGCTTGCTTGAGGTTTGTATACATAGTTACCTTACTTCAGTCTCTGGCCAGTCTTGCTCAAACACAAGTTTACCAAAATAGTAAGTGTCTTCAACACCCTTCACATCTCTCCTTCTTCAACACCCTCAACATCTCTCCTTCTTCAGCAACCCCCCACCCTCCAGTAAGGTACCAGAATCCATGGCGGAAGCAACAGATTTAAAGGGGAAAATGTTTAACAATTTTGCATACATTTTTAAACTCTTGTTTTTAACAAACATTAATGATTAAACTCAGTTGTATTTTGTACTTTTTTCTTTTTCTTACAATTAAAAAAAAATATCATGTGCAATGACCCTGGTTCACATCTCCCGACTTTACCGTTACCTTTACAATAGCTCTCAGTTATTGCTATCTTTTTTAGTATTTACAGTGAGTTAAGTTAATTCGTCAAGAGTATGCATTGTTCAGTAGACATAGTACATCTTTTTTTAATGTTCTTCAGCTATCCAGCACTTTTGGTGGTGCCTCAGTCAGTGTCAGATGAAAGTATACGAAAATTTTCCAGGTGCAATAGACAGAACAGGTAATTCTTTCGTTTGCATTATGAGCTGCCGTTATTAATTTTTGTATTGCCCTCTAGATCTGAGAAATGCACAAACAAGCTTACACTTAATTTGTTATTGTCCACTAGATCTGAGAAATATAGAAACAAGCTTACACATAGTTTGGTATTGCTCTCTAGATCTGAGAAATGCAGAAACAAGCTTACACATAACTTACCATTGCTCTCTAGGTCTGAGAAATGCAGAAACAAGCTTACACATAACTTACCATTGCTCTCTAGGTCTGAGAAATACAGAAACAAGCTTACACATAGTTACCATTGCTCTCTAGATCTGAGAAATGCAGAAACAAGCTTACACATAACTTACCATTGCTCTATAAGTCTGAGAAATGCAGAAACAAGCTTACACATAACTTACCATTGCTCTCTAAATCTGAGAAATGCAGAAACAAGCTTACACTTAACTTACCATTGCTCTCTAGGTCTGAGAATTACAGAAACAAGCTTACACATAATTTTTTATTGAATTGCATACATGTCCAAACCATCTTAACTGATCCACTCGGGTTTTTAAGGCCTGGCTTTTTGCAGCTAATCATTACTTATTACATATTATGTTCTTTATCTTTATCAACTACGGTTTTAGCGTTTTCTTTTCTGTTCTTGTGTTCTATATTTGTGTAATATATTTCCAAGCTGGTGTCATCCGTACACCTTAATATTTGAATTTTGTTTTTTAACTTGACTGAGAATATTATAAAAGTAGACAAGCTGAGAAAGCATAACTAATTGAGATTTGCTCTCGAGATCTTATCAAAACATAAGGAATTAACATAGTGTGTGGTATGCTCTCTAGATCTGATAAAAAGCACGAGAGAAGATTCTTGACAGCCTTTTCTCATGGCATGGAGGGATGTCAGCACACAAACTGGTGCATGCCGTTGATTGTGGAGAGGCAGGATCACCCAAACCAGTTGGCAAGGCATTTGATTGATGATGATATTGATGAAGACTGCAATACATGTCCTTAATACCATCATAACTGTGACTGATCCACTCGGGTAAGCTTATTGAAATATAAGATGACAAAGAATATTGGAGAGCTATGGTTTACTGATTTCTAAAACTGACCAGGCACTTGAAAAAGTTCACTTGTATGTGTGCATGTTTCAGTCGTCCATGTTTCAGTCATCGATTGTCTTCTCTGTATGATGATCTATGGTACTGACCAGGCACTTGAAGAAAGTTCACTTGTTTGTGTGCATGCTTCAGCATCGAAAATTGTCTTTTCTGTATGATGATCTATGGTACTGATCAGGCACATGACAAAGAAGTTAAATTGTAAATTTTTTTCCAGATTTCCGGTAATAACGTGGCGACACCCAAAAACACGAGCTCTTCTACTCAGGGCTAGTGGTTTCCATTCAAGGAGCCTGATGGGAATGTTGCGGCCACACAACACTGCAACAAGTAATTGTCTGATATTTTAGCTTACAATTGTCTGTGAAATGGAAATGGGAACATAATAAATTAAACAATACTGTCTTTGAAGAAACTGATCTCACTGTCCAGTGAATATAGCTGCTCAAGACATTTATGTAATAAAAGTCATCACATCAACTTTTATTTTTGCTGTTAAGCATCGTGGAACAGATGGGAAGCAATGGCTCTCGTCATTCCATGTCGATGTGAAATCTCTTTAATGTCATCAATCCACGTTCTCCTAGGGTGACCTCTTGCTTTCAGATCAAATCTTTTCAAGAGAAGCGCCTGCGTTAGTAGTTGTTCTGACTGCAATCTTACTAGATGACCAAAAGACCTTGCTGTGGAATTAATGTTCTTTCCATGTATTCACAAATAGAGAATGTGACTCAGTACTGGATCCCTTTCATTATATAGTGCCAGTCTAGTATGTTTAGACCAGGGGTAGACAACCTTTTTCTTTTTGTCTGCAGACCAAATTTTATAACAATATAAACAAAACACCTAGATATTTTTCTGGGATAATCTAAGATTATTATCCCTCCCTAAGCCTCTGGCCAGACACCCGCCTACTAAAGCTCTTCTATATATTCCTTTCTGCATACGAACGTATGATTTTATCTTATGCTTTTTGTGATCTCCAAGACCAGATTATATAGTATATCCTTCGCAGGCCAGTAAAATGCTCGTGGGGCCAGTTTTGGCCCACAGCCTATAGTTTGCCCACCCCCTGATCTAGACAGATCAACACTGGATCAGTCATGTAGTCACTATCTTGACATCCACCTATACTTCCCAGGAAGATTCCTGACACCCAAAATAAAGATAATGGAACATACTCTAGTTGAAAACAAAGATTTGGGGGTCTAGATAACTCTTTCAACATATGTAACATATAATTTTTGGCAGATAGTTTCAGGGCCTTATTCAATAATAGATGAGTGATATGCGCACATGTGTTTGCATGTGAGAGAGAGTGAGATGCGCTTACATAAACCTGAGTTGAAGGCTGTTAAGAGAAGCCAAGGGCACAAGTTGTATGATATTGAGAGAATTGCACCGAATACAACCGAATGGGAGACCTGATTGTGAGTCCTATATGACATGAAATGGCACAACATGATGATGATGATGAGCTTATATATACACATACATATATTCTTTTGTATAATCATATATATGCATCTTTAACATGGCAACATGGATGTAAGTCACAGACTTTGACTCAGTCATTGAAGAAAAATATTTGAGCTTATAAAATGAAAGGCTAAGAAAACTTCTTAGAATACCATGGACCAAGAAGAAGAAAAATACTGACATCCTGCATGATCTCAGCAACTAGGAGATTTGGCTCAAAAACAGCATCCTGTCCCAAAAGTAATTGAAGATGAATATGCTATGAAAGCACAAAGGGCTCTAGTTGGCTAGAGAAAGAAAGACTTTTAGGCATGCCCTGATGAGACCAACGTTATGTAAAGGACCGGCTGACTGATAATGATGAGAGAGGTCAGCGCAAGTTACAACCACAGATCTGAGAAGAGCAGATGTGAGAGCAAAAGAGGGCATTCACATGGAGTGTGCCACCCATCAAATAGGGGATCATTAGCTGTTCTGATTCACGACACTCAATGGCAAAAGGAACTAAATAAGTAAGTTTTACCCCACACATCACACAAAGCAATAAACACCCGGTGACACAAAGTCACCATGTGGTTGAGGATCACATGTGGAGAGGTCCCAGAAACCCTGTTCAACCATTAGGTTAAATTATATTAGGGCAACAGCGCGGGTGGGGCTTCTAAATAATTAAAAATTGTGTCCCACAGGGGACAAGAAAGTACTTGTAATGGTTGAAGATGAGTATGGTAATGCACATAATTATGCAAGCTTTTGTTTCTTTGGGGGTGGGGGGGGGGGGGCATACAAATATGTCTCATGGTCTCATGTAATTGTCTTGTTATGCCATTCCAGTTCCAATTCCATTCTATAAGATAATCAAAAACTCAACCAAATTCATCTTGCTGATGGCAGCAAGCTGCCAGCTGTCTACTGTTATATTTGTGGTTTGGTTTATTTGCGCAACATGCCTGGCTAAGACTTCTTATGCCACTTAGCTTACTAACATCATGATGGCTTTTATTTCAGGCACTTCAAGTGGTGGCGAAGCATCGTCAACCTTAGAGCAGGAGAAATACTTCTCACTTCTGGTGGCAGCCACACCAAGTAGCTATCGTAACAATGCCCTGGTGCACTCAAACAGCGACTCTCTCACGTCCCTGGATTCTCTGATGATGGTGGGGATGGGCGGAGATCCTCTCAACATTCCCTCAACCCCTGAACCCGCACGACGGATGGCTCGAGGGGATACACTGGACAAAAGAGTCAGTGCACCTCCTTCTTCAACAGCGGCAAATACCAGGAACAAAAACGCATGTGAGTTAACTCTTTACCAGTTTTGCAGTTTGTGACGGTTGTAACACAGATGTCGCACAGAATGACTGCTGTGAGATTTCCTCAAAAACCATCAGGTTCCGATTGGTCTACAAAAATATGAGTCTAGCCTTATATGCCCGATGCACCATTGGCATATAAAGACTTTCATTTTACTTTACCATGTGCCCAGTGCACACTGACGTTTAGAAACCTTTACTTCACCATATGCCCGATGCACCACTGACAAATAAAGAGACCTTAACTTAACCATATGCCTAATGCACACTGACGTATAGAAACCTTTACTTACCATATGCCAGATGTACCGCTGACATATAAAGAGACCTTTACTTTACTTTACCAAATGCTCGATGCACACTGATGTATAGAGATCTTTACTTTACCATATGCCTGATGTCCCACTGACATATAAAGAGACCTTTACCATCTTCACCATATACCTGATGCACCACTGACACAAAAAGAGACCTTTACTTTACCTTATGCCCAGTGTGTACTGATGTATAGAGACGTTTACTTTATCATATGCCCGATGCACCACTGACATATAAAAAGACCTTTACTTTACAATATGCCTGATGCACCACTGACATATAAAGAGACCTTTACTGTACCGTATGTCTAGTACACGAATGGCAAGAAAAGGACCCTGTATTTTTTCCCACCAGGATAGCTTCTCTTGTTGTGGCTATATTTCTCTTTCTGGTGATATTAATTTCTGTTTGTCAGTAGATTTATTTACAAGCTCACTCAATGAGATTAAAAAACACTTAAATTTAGAAGCACTAGCAATAGCATCCTTTCTCGAAAGCTGAAGTATTTTGGCCATATCAAGCGCCACGACGGATTGGAAAAAATTATAGCAGAAGGCATGGTAATACGAAGGAGGGCAGGGGCCGACGTACACGAAGATGGGCACAGGATATAGGTGACTCCTTGAATGTGAAAATGCATGAGGCGGGAGAACTGGCGAGAGACCGAGTTTCTTTCAGGCAGACTGTGATGAGAGCGACGTTCTGCAAAGGACCTGCTACATGATGATGATGATGAGCAATAGGAATTTGAAAAAAATCAAAAAACATTTCATGCATTAAATAACGGTAGTCACTTCTGAGATTTGGATTCTCCAGTGTTTCATGTTATGTAATCTTAGTCATATTTTTGTATTTTGACTTGTTTGCTTATTGCATTTGTTAACATTAATCTTTTCATTATTGTGGTTCTTGTTTCTGCAAAATCTTGATCTTTTCTCTGTTTTTAATATTTTTTAAAAAATAGTCAGTGTATAATTTTTTTTTTTTTTAATTATTAAAGCTGATGCTAAACAAATGTTTAGGACACATGCATTTGTACTGACCAGCACAGTGAGGGGATGTTAGTTTTCTGTCCTATCTTCAATCCATTAAAATATAATGAGCATTTTAAATGATACATTTGTGTCACTCCCAAATTCAGACATAATTTCTCATATTTTAAAATTTTCCAGTCCTAAAGGGTAAGATGCTCTAATGTAGTGTTTTTTTGTTTGTTTTTCATTTACATTTTTTTCCTGTTGTTATAATTGTTTTAAACTGAATAGATCCCCCTGTATGATGTTTGCTTGCTCTCATTTTCTGGGTCTTTTTTACTTTGGTGTCTTAATTTGATGTGCATTTTTTTCTTTGCAGATTTGAACAATTGCTTCAATTTTTTAGGTTCTTCTTTCACATTGTTGTTGTTGTTTGCGTTCACCAGCTTTAAACTCTGGCTGAAAGTTCTGGTTGCTCATCCACTTCTGGACTATAGTCCTGTTCCAGAAACTGAGTGCACATCCCTTTCACATGTCTAACTTATTTGCATGCAGACTGTTGGTTCCTTACCTCTCAGGCAGATGTACAATTAGTCGACTCCTACGACATGCCTTTGGGCAGACAGTGGGTCTGTTCTTGTTCTCTCCACAATGGGGCCCCGAACCCACACAGGGATTTCACAATGCGAAACATCTTCTAGATGAAATATTTGAGTCACTAGTTTTTGTGTTACTGTTGCAGAGTACATTCAGTACATTGTACAGTGAAAAACACAGATTTTAATTGCTTATTTTGGGGACTACTGTACAAAACAAAAATGACTTACAGAATATAATAAAATATTCTTAATGTGTAACATTGTATACCAGTTTCAATACATTACAGTGAGTTAAGTCAAGTTAAGAACCAACTTCACAACACAGTGTGATATGTCCCCTTGTCCCCATCTTTAGCAGCCAGCGTAGAGTTCCAAGGTCATTAATACTAGTAGCAGTATGATTGTATGTCCGTCTTGCCTTTTCCCTGAGTATTGAGATTCCCTGTTCACTACCAACTCCACCATTCTCTTGAGACCATGATGATATGTTTGTGAAATTTAATACAGTTTAAGAAACAACCATTCATGGGTCTTAGGGTGAAGACATGGTACTAAAAATAAAACCATGTCATCATTAAATGGATTTTAGAGCAGTATCAGCCATTATGTACTTAAACAATACTTCAGAATAAAATGGAATGAAGGAATAGACTGTGGGCGCATGTGACATATAATGGCACAACAGGAAAGTTGTGATAATGGGTTTCCTCTTAATACATTGTTCACTGTTCAATTAACGATCATCTTTATCGCACGTTGGACATGACCATAAGTACTCCCATCTCCTTCTGAGTATGTCTCTAAGTGTTTTTAGGCTAACAACTCCTATACTGTTCTGGTTGATGTAATGATGGGTGGCTCCTACATGGTTTTCCTGTCTTGCAGCTCCAGTTGTTGCATCCAGGGTATGCAGTCTATTCAGTGAAAAATTCCCTCGAAGTCGGAGTACAGCTGCCCATGAGGCAGGGAACAACAAAATGGTTGTACACGCAAAACTCAGGTCCAGGTAAAAGCCAAAAGTCTAAGCGGACGATTAAACCTGACCTTCCGCCGGAATTCACAGCCGGTGAACGAAGAAGAAGAAGAAGTGAAAAATCACTTACAGAATATAGTAAAATGTTCTTAATGTGTAACATTGGATACCAGTTTCAAAACATTACAGTGAGTTAAGTCAAGTTAAGAACCAACTTCACAGCACAGTGTAATGTGTCCCCTGTCTTGCAGTTCCAGTTGTTGCATCCAGGGTATGCAGTCTATTCAGGGAAAAATCATTTTCCATTAAACTTAAAGCTTCACAACATTTAGTCTCTCGTATGCTCTCTCATTGCCTTTCACACCAGCATTCCCTGAGAAAAAAATTTAGGTGATTTTGCAAAATACTGCATGCTGTATCAGATGGAGCTAATGTTTCCGTATATACCCCGCCTTGATCTTCTATAGCTTGCTCATTGAGTCACTGAGCAAACATGCATTGGTGAATTTCTGAGTTTTCAGCCTCGTCTGGTGGGGACAGTCACGAGTCACAGGTGACACCAGTTCGTCATCAGGTTATTGATGGCAATTTGAGAAAAAAAAAATTATGAAAATTAAAAGTGTTAAACTAGCAACGTGGAATGTGAGAACACTGGCAAAATTAGGAAAAACTGAAAATTTTATAAAAGAAATGGAATGTTTGAAGATAAACATCTTAGGAATGAGTGAAATGAGATGGAAGGGTGCTGGAAAGATCAGAAGAAATAAGTACAGAATAATATATTCAGGAAGTGACAAACATGATAAGGAAACAGCAAAAGTAGTTGTGGATAACTGGAGTTTATCAGATAGGGTTAAAATGGTTAAAATCAAAGGCAAACCAATAAACATAATACAAGTGTGTGCCCTAACATCAGTTAGAAGTGAAGATTAAATAGACAAATTTTACAAAGATTTAGATTTGGCAATAGCCTAAACAAAATCACAATAAATTATAATAATACTGGGAGATTTTAATGTAAAAGTTGAAAAAGAGAGAACAGAAGATGTAGTTAGGAAATATGGTTTAGGATCAAGAAATGAAAGCGGTGAAACACTGGTAGAATGGGCACAAAATAATGATATAATGATTGGAAACACCAGGCTTAAACAACATAAGAAACGATTATACACATGGAAAAGCCCAGATTAGAAAACATTCAATCAAATTGATTATATACTAATAAACAAAAGGTTTAGAAATGCACTAACAAATGTGAAGACAAGACTTAGTGCTGGCTGTAATAGTGACCACGTTCTACTATGTGGAAAATTAAATGTTTGACTGATGAGTGGAAAGAAAGAGGTGAAAAACTGTAGACTAAACAAGGATATTCTATAAATAAATTCAGGAGTGATAAAGAGTGATTGTGAGGAATAGTTACATACAATTCCAAAAAGTACAAACTATAAACATTTAGTGTGAAATGCTGAGAGACTCCATCCACCAAACAGGCAAAGAGATTTTACCAGAAAGAAGAAAAATAGTTAAACAGAAATGGATTACTGAAGTAATTTTAAAGTTAACAGGTGACAGAAAAAAATGTATGAATGACAAAGAAGAATATAATAAGTTTAAAAAAATAAGTCTCAAGTGTTAGCTAAATGAGCAATGCAATAAAATTGAACACAGGCCTATTAAAGTTGCAAAAAGTGTGCACAAAGAAATTAGCAATCTAACTGGAAGAAAGATAAAGCACAGGATGTCTGAAATCAGAAGCATGGGAGCTCTTAATGGAGGAAGATAATATAATAATAAGATAGAATGAACACATAAGAGAGTTATATGGGGGAAAGAGAGCAGAATTGCCAGAAGAAAGAAAATAGAAGGTCCGCCTATATTAAAGGAAGAAGTCAGCGATGCTATTAAACATATGAAGAAAATAAAGTCAGCTGGGGCAAATGACATTTCGGTAGAAGAATTAGAAGTACTGGGGGAATTTGGGGTAGAAATATTAACTAAAACTGATGAATGACATTTATAACACTGGGTACATACCAATTGATATGATGAAATCTGTATTTATTGTGTTACCCAAAAGACCAGGATCAATTGAATGTGAAGAATGTCATACAATCAA